TCCATACTCAGAGAAAGAAATATGGAGTCTGAATGCAGATGGAAGCATACTATTTGCTCTCCTTTGCCTTGGTTGTTTTGTTTTATTGCTTTATTTTTGTGGTTCCTCACATTAGTTCTAATTATTCTTTACATCATCAATAATGGGAAAATATACTTAACTTGAATATATATGTAGAGCCTGTATCAGATTGTGCACCATCTCGGGGTTGGGAGGGGGGAGAAGAAATGGGAAGCGGAGAAAATTTAAAATTCAAGATCTTATGGAATTGAATATTGAAAACTAAAAATAAATAAATAAACAAATAAATAAACAAATAACCTGCACTGAGTCAGTAGTATCAGTTGATTCATCCAAAGTGATTGAATAATATATATTTTCCTTTTGAAGAATTGCATGATATTATTCTGTTAAGTTGAACACTAGTTCATGTTGCTGATCAGTTATGGTCCTCCTTGAAAGAGGCAGTTGTTCATACTCTAAAACAGTATCAGGGCCTAAGCGCCCTACAACTTCAACAACGCATTCTTTCACAATTTCTGCATCACTGAATGGCTTCACTTTTCCCCCCGAGTATATAAGCTACTTTATAATTTGCTTCAGTGGCATTATTTCCAGGTCTTATTGCTGCTTGAAAGAATTGTCAGGGCAGCTAGGTAGCATAGTAGATAGAGCTCTGGCCTTGAAGTCAGGAAGACCTGCAGTCAAATCTGGCCTCAGACCCTTGACACTTACTAGCTGTGTGACCCTGGGCAAGTCACTTAACCCTGATTGCCTCACCAAAAAGCAAAAAAAAAAAAAAAGAAAAAGAGAGAAAGAAATATCTTTCCTTTTGCTTTTCATCTTTTAGTTTCTGTAATACAGTTTTACAACTCTCCCTCTAATTTAAAATATTTATGGTCCTTATGAGTGTTATAATGCTGATGAGCATTGAATTTCTCTACTGTTGATATTGCAGTATCACAAAGCAAGCAAATGATCTTATCTTTAGCAGAAACAAGATAATATTGTGATTCCCAGTTCTCATTAAAAAATCTTTCTTCCTTCAGTGTTCTCTTGGTCTTTGACATTATGGGCAACAGCCCATTAAGCTGACAGAATTAAAAAATACTGTGGAGCTGTGCAACTCTTTACAAATTCCACTTCAAACAGAAACACAGTGAACTATTTTCAGAAGCTGATAACAGACTGGCATACTTGATGCCCATAAACTCTCGCCAACCAGCCTCATGTGGTAGTGGTGCCATTCAGGCTGGGGGAAGTTAGAACTAAATAATGAGCATAGCAGCCATTAGTTTAGTCCTTATGGCTTGCTAATGTTCTAATTATGTCAGTCAATCTGGGAGGATTATTTCATTGAAACATTTTATTCTTTGGTATCTTAAATACATTCATTTTAAAAATAAAATAAAATATAAAAGATGAACAAAAGTATATTAATAAAAATAAAAGGATTTGTTCTGTCAAATTTAGATTCAGTCAAAAGCCTGCACTTAAGGACCTAGAAGGCCACATGTGACCTTAAGGCTTCAGTTTCCCACTGCTGAGATAGAATACATCACACTATCAGGATCTCAGAGTTGAAGAGAAACCAGCCACAATTTAAAGACCTTTCATGATGGAAAACCCAACATCTCCTGAGGCAAACCTCTTCCACAGGAGGGGTGGAGGGGAGGAAAATGGCATATAATAATTCAAATGATTAGGTGATCATTGTTTTTTTATATTTAGCCTAAATCTACTTCTTTGTGACTTTTGTGAATTGAATAGTGTTTTAAAACACTGAATATAATTAATTCTATCATAATTCAAGGTGTATACTTCTGGGTCTCACAATAAATTTAAATATTTTAATTGATTTGATCAATTAAAGTAAGTAAGTAGTCAGTTCAGTTATTTTTTTTAACTAATCATGGCAGCCTGTTATTTTATCCAGACCTATGATTTCATCCAAACAATTGACTTAAATTGTTTCCATATAAAATTATATATTTATATGATAGTCAAATAATCAACAAACATTTAATCAAAGGCTTAGTATGTGCCTCACATTTGTAAAGCCCTTTAAAGTTTACATAGTGCTTTCCTGACAACAACTATACCTATAACCTTGAGCACAGTGTATGCATGTGTGTAATAAGTAAGTATTTATAAGAGACTCTTGTATGTCAAGCATAGAGAGAAAGACTGAACTTGTGATTTCGTTGGTATAGTGTACAGCATTGTGCAGGAAATTCCCTCTCAATGCTATATGATACCTTTGTTAAAACTGATAATTTGAGAACTGCCTAGATTTCTGAGTAAAGTGACCTACTTGCCTAGGGTCATATATCAGAGGTGAGATTTGAACTCAAGACATCCTAGCTTTGAGACCAACTTCCTTACCCACTAGACAATACTGCCTAAATGCTAGGCATTCATATTTATATAAATGCTCTTACACAAGGATAAATACACACACACATACACACACATACGTACATGTCCAAGTATGTAATATTTGAATCAGACTAAATGACTGAATTTGAACTGCCACAATAGCCCAAATGGTTGTATAGAAAGCACAACATGAAGCAATGATCATTATACTGTTCTTCTGCAGAACAACTAACAAATGATAGGGTAGAAGAAACATTTCTCTCCAAAGATTGGAGAGCTCAATGGGATTATTTATGTTTAAATACATTTTGTGGATAAATGGTGAAATAATTGTGTAATATTGATGAGAATTTAGTCTTTAGAAAGGAAATGGCCCAATAGTGAACATCTATCAATCTCTAGACAGATGTTAAAATAATTTTATATGTATGTATGTATGTATGTATACATATGTATATATATGCATATATATATACACACACATATGATATAAAATTGTCTTTGTTAAAGCAATTTTACCTTGTGAAATGTCACCTATTTATAAAACCATTTGGATTGCTCACATACCAAGTGAGAATTATCTGATTTTTCACCTTAAATTATAACAGAATTAATTAGAGTATATTCTCATGATAGACTGGTATTTTGTCCAATATCAAACATTTAAAAAATATACTGTATGTTATACTGTAATTTTTCTTATATGTCATTGCTATACTTTTATAGCAACAAGATGAACATCATGCCTATGTCAACAGAACATACAAAGAAATTTACATAAAAACTTGCATATTTATTAAATTACCTACTATTTCAGAGTCCTACAGTTGGTCCTAGTGAAGATACAAATATTAAGTTATACATTTGCAAACAAATATGTATATCATTTATGTGTACATACATATTTATGTGTGTATATATATATATATATAATATGTATATATATATATACACACCCCTATCTCTTTATCTATCTGTGAATCTCTCATTTTTCATTACATAGCCTTGTGATTTTACTGTAAGGAGCATAAAACTGGATGAAAGATGATATCCATTGAGAAGTATCCTTATGCTAAGAAATTCTTTAATATGACGTCAGGTTTTTGTGTGTGTGCTTGTACTTTTTTTAAGGTGAATTTTGTATGGTAATAAATGTCAAGTTCAGGGCAAAGGCTCTTTTGTAGTCCTTCAGTTGCTTGAATGACACTTTGGCTGCATTAACTTTAAACTTCAATCAGACAAGAGATATTATTCTCTACCATATGGTCCAATTATTGGATAAACAACAAATTTTAATATAATTTTTTGCATATTGTAACCTTGAATGATTCATGGGAAAATGGAAAATATATATAATATTATTAGTATAAATCCAATATTTTCTAGCTTTTCCACAGTTCTCATTCTTTAGCATTACCATGCTACTTGTCTAGATTGGCCTCTATGCATATTTCACATGTGTATTTTCATATGCATATTTCAATAGCTCTTTTTGTGGAGGAAAAAATTACCAGAATTCTAAGAATTCTGATTGGAAAGTCACTTCAGAGGTATCTGTGCCAACCTGACCTGTTCTTGACCCAGAACCCCAGCTATGAGATACCTGACAGTCTAATACCTGACCATCTAACCATTGCTTCAAGAACTCCCACGAGGGGAGACCCACCTTTTTCCAGGGGCAGCACATTCTACTTCTGGATGTCTATAATTTTTAGGAATTTTTTTCTTAGACCAAATCTAAATCTGCTTCTTTGTGACTTCTGTCCATTGTTCCTAGTTCTGAGCTCCGGGGCCAAACAGACTAAGTCTAATTCTTCTTGGCATTGACTTGAATATCATATGTCCTCTTATCTCTACTCCTTCATTCTCCTGTCAAATCATTTCTTCTTCAAGTTAATACTCCTCACTTCCTTCATCTAGCCCTCATATGACCTATCAAGGTCCATTACCCTCTCCTGTCCAACTTTGTGTAGTTCTAGGTCAGAAATTGAATTTCCATATCCTGGTGTCAAAATTACTCTTTAAAATCTTACACCTTATGCCTATGAACTTCCCAATACATTGTGTTTTAGAAAGTATATTGTGGCTCCATCATGGTCCATAGTACTTTATCTTGACCTCTCCTATGGGTTTAGCTATCATACCCTCCTTGGCATGTAGATATTTATGTACACAACTCTCCATCCTTCCACTCTGCTTGATTGAAAAATCCTTTAAAATAGGATCGGTAAGGTATTTATGTGTGTATCTCTGTTCCTATATTACATGTACTTCACTTTTTAAAGTACCTGTGATTTCATCAGCAGGGAGCTTCTGCTGTCTCACATGTATGCCCTTACTCACTTTCCTGTGCCTGAAATGCCTAACCTCTCTTTCCTTTGATGAACTGTTCTCTGTCCTTTAAAGCTTACCTTAATTGCCACTCACTCCAGTAAGGAATACATTGTGTTATCTCTACTGATTTTTAAAATTCTTTTAATATACTATAAGGTCCATGAAGGTAAGGACAAAGATCTTTCTAATTGTTCCCACTACCTACAACAGTTTTCTGTGTTTGGGAGGCACTTTTTAAATGTTTACTGATTGCCTGATCAATGCATACTTAATCTCTTTTTACCTAGGTTCTTCTGGGCAAAGTCCTTTATTAGTACTTTTAAGTGGAAATCACACTGAACAATCAAATTATACAAGCAAGAGTCATCAATTATATTTTCGCTGGTCAACTGATCATGCAACTAGTAAGAAAGGATTCAAAATCCGTTACTCAGGTTAGTGAATGTTATTTCAAATCCATTTTATGAAAAATCTTTCTAACGTAAGATCTTAAATGGTTTCATCTGCTTAACCTTAACCCTAAGTTTTGAAGGTAAATATTATCAATTCCATAGAAATGGCCTGGCAAGTTTTTAGGATAATTTTGTTTTCTAAAAAGTATACTAGCAGCACAGAAACTGTTCTTTGATGGCTATTTAATTTGGTTTTTTAAAATATATTGTTTTAAGAACTATATATATACTTTTAATTCAAGTCTCATAAAAAGCAAAATATGGAAGTTTTTGAAAAGATTCTGAAAAAAGGGGGAAACTATCATGGGAGAGTAGAGGTTCATACACTGTGGGAGAAAAAGTTAAGGGAACTACATATGTGTGTGTATTGTTTTTTTTGGATAATACCTTTTTTAAAAGTTTGCACACTGCTTTATGTAATCCATACCTTATTGAGCTTTGCAACAACCCTCTGAAGTAGATATTGCAGAGACACTGTAGTCTAATATAATGGAAAGATTAGCTGGACCGGGAATCAGAAAAATCTTTGTATGATTATGAAATGATAATGGTGTTGATTTGATGACAAGGAAGAGGAGGAAGAGGAGGTGGATAATAATAGATAACAAATATATTACACTTTAAAGTTTGCAGAGTACTTATATTCCTTCAATAATTCTGTGAAGTAGGTGCTGTTATCATCCCCATTTTTCAGGTGAGGAAACTGAGACTGAGAGAGGTTAAATGACTTATTCAGAGTCACACAGCTAGTACGTGTCTGGGAAGGATTTGAATGCAAGTCTTCCTGTCTCCAAATCCGACCCTATATTCACAGAGCCACCAAATTCCCTCACAAGGTAAAGTCACTTAACCTCTTCAAAACTTAGTTTCCTTATCTCTAAAATGGGAATAATTTGGGGCAGCTTGGTGGCGCAGTGGATAGAGCACCGGCCTTGGATTCAGAAGGACCTGAGTTTAAATCCAGCCTCAGACACATAACACTTACTAGCTGTGTGACCCTAGGCAAGTCACTTAACCCCATTGCCTATCCTAAAAAATAAATAAATAAAATAAAATAAAATAAAATGGGAATAATTTGTACATCAAAAGACTTTTCATAATGATCAAATGAAATAATGTACCTAAAGTTCTGTGGAAATGTCAGTGTTTATTATTGATATTTTCATATCATTTTACAGAAGAAGAAAGTAAGAATCCAAAAGGTTAAATAACTTTCCCATGGTTACACAGACTCAGAATTTGATCCCAGGTCTCTCTACTCTCAGTCAGAATTCTTTCCACTACATCATGCTGCAATTAGGGAGAATGCATGATTCTGTAGTTTATTCTGTTAAGAGCTAATGGTGCCTTATTATTAACAAATTTCATTTATTTTTATTTTTTAGTGTAAAAATGTTTAAGCACTTTTCACTCCTTCAATATTTAAGTTACATGCACACAAAGTCCATCTCCTTAAGCTTTCCTGACTAAAGAATACCTCCTTAAGCCGTCAGAGCATCGAGCAATATGAAAAAAAGGCTAACCTACTGCTGTGCAGCCTGGGAATCATTTCATCTATCCTTTGTCTGTTGTTGTACATGTTAATTAGCTTGGTTAATACATTTGTGACAGCTTATTCCCCTGTGTGCTGCTGTCAGTGAGATCTGACCCATACTCAAGACAATTGTATTGTTTTAGCTGTTCTTCTTACCAGGGAAAAAAGGCCACATTTTGATATTTGAAGCACAGCAGCTAGATTTAAAACCTGAGCAATAATGTATGACTCTGGAAACTTGTTTCAAAAATCTCCCCTTTAGGTCACATTTCCTATTCTTGAGAAGACAGTGGGTCTTGAAAGGGTAGGTTTCCTTCACTTCTTGGTAAAGCTTGCTTCACCTGTAATTAAAGGCAACCCACATTAGCAAGGGGGAACTGAATACATTAGCCTCTGTCAATAACAAGTTTGAGTCTTTCTGTGTGTGGTCCAGGACATGAAAAGGAAAAACATGAGGTTTTTGAAAAGACTATTGATGCCCTGACAATTGTTATTAAATCAGCAGGTTTTCTCCTAAGTAAACTTAATGAAGTTTTCCCAACCTTTCTTTACCCCTTTAAATTGGCCAGTCAACCAGTTTGCCAGAATGAAGCTTGGGCAAATTTCCCTTCATTATAAATCCATTAAGATGAGATTTAGGTGACTGTAAAATACATAATTGGGTAATTGGGTGTTGAAAAATAGTTGCATATATTTCTATGTATGTATAAACATCTATACTTTGCATCCATATGATATTTGCTTTTGCATATATGTATGCATATGTGTATATATTTGCACATACTATATGCATATAATTAAATGAAGTAATATTTGTAAAAAGTGTTTAGCATAGTGTCTGGCACATAATAGGCAGTTAATAAATATATATCCCTTTCCAGTGGCTAGAAATGAGGCTGAACCTGTGATTTAAGGTGGAGTGAGTTCTTGAGTAAGGAAACTCCCTCTACTGATGCAAACTGATATCTTCATTGTGATTCAGTCTTAGAGAGTTGCCTAGAACACTGAGATGTTAAGTGACTTAGGAAGAATCACAGTGTCAGAGGTGGGACTTTTCAGTGACTCCTCACTATATCCTGAAGAAAATAAATTCTGAGCTATCCTAGAATTCAGAGCCCTCCACAATTTAACTTTAACCCCCTTTCTATACTTATTTCATACTACTTGCCTTCAAATAATCTGCAGTACAGTCAAATTAGTCTATTTCCCATTTTTCTATATAATCTTGTCTTATACCATTGTGTATGCCCCCCTCATCTGTAATTAGTTTTGCTTGTCTGTTTTTAAGTGTGGTCCAATCAACTTTTTTTTCTAAACTTCCTTGATGTCCTGGAACCAAAGGGCAAAATAGGCATTGAAAGAATCCACCAATCACCTCAGCAAAGAGATCCCAAAATAAAAACTCCAAGCAACATTATAGCCAATTTTCAGAACTGTCAGGTTAAGGAAAAAATACTCCAAGTGTCCAGAAAAAAACAATTCAAATATCAGGGAGTCACAATCAGGATTACACAGGACTTGGCAGCTGCAACATTAAAGGATCATTGGAGGTCATGGAACATGATATTCCAGAAGGCAAAGGAGCTAGGACTACAATCAAGAATCACTTACCTGGCAAAATTAATACATCAAGGGAAAAATTAGTCATTCAATAAAATAAGATTTCAAGTTTTCATAAGGAGAATACCAGAACTAAATAAAAAAATTTGACCTTCAACATCATGACCCAAGAAAAGCATAAACAAGTAAAAAGGGAAAAGAAAATATAAAGGATTAAATAGAGCTAAACTATTTACATCCCTACACAGGAAGATGGTACTTGTAATTCTTAAAAGTTGTATCACTAATTGTATAGCTAGAAGGAATATGCATAGACAGAGGGTATGGATATTTGAGAGAATGGCATGAAAAAAATTAAAGGGTGAGAAGGAAGAGTACAATGGGTGCGGAAGGAAGAGAGAGGTGGAAGGGGGTAAATTATTTCCCAAAAGACCTATTACAGTGGAGGGGAAGATGGGACGATGGGTGATAAGCATTACTTGAACCTTACTCTCATCAGTATTAGCTCAAAGTGGGAATTATATATGCAATTAGTTGAATACAGAAATATATCTTACTGGACAGGGAATTAGGAGGGTAGGAGATGAAGTAAAAGGGGGAGAAGGTAGTGTCTAACCAAAGGGAGAGAATATAAGAGGAGGTGGTAGACAGAAGCAAAATACTGGTGAGGAGGGAAAGGGTAAAAAGAGAGGGCAAACAAGAGGAAGAATAAGATGGAGGGAAATACACAGGTAGTAATCATAACTATGAATATGAATGGGATGAACTCTCCCATAAAACACAAATGGATAAGCAGACCCAGAATGCTACAATATGTTGTCTACATGAAACACACTTGAAGCAAAGACCCACACAGAGTAAAGGTAAGGGGCTGGACCAGAACCTATTATGCTTCAGCTGAAATAAAAAAGCAGGAGTAGCAATCCTGATCTCAGACAAAGTGAAAACAAAAATAGACCTAATTGAAAGAAATAAGGAAGGAAACTACATCTTGCTAAAACAATGAAGCAATATCAGTACTAAACATATACGCACCAAGTGGTGTAGCATCCAAATTCTTAAAGAAGTTAAATGAGTTATAGGAAGAAATAAACAGCAAAACTGTACTGGTAGGGGATCTCAACTGTCCCTTCTCAGAACTTAATAAATCCAACCAAAAAATAAACAAGAAAAAAAACTAGGGAGGTATATAGAGCATTAGAAAAGTTAGATTTGACAGACCTTTGGCATGATTTAGACATAAAGGGTGACACCATAAGCAAATTAGAAGAGCAAGGAATAGTCTACCTGTCAGATCTATAAGGAGGAAAAAAATTCATGATCAAACAAGAGATAGAGAGCATTACAAAGTATAAAATAGATAATTTTGATTATATTACATTAAAAAGCTTTTGTACAAACAAAACCAATGCAGCCAAGATTAGAAGGAAAGCAGAAAGCTGGGAAATAATCTTTACAGCAACTGTCTCTGATAAAGGTCTCATGTCTCAAATATGTAGAGAATTGAGTCAAATTTACAAGAATACAAGCCATTCACCAACTGATAAATGGTCAAGGGATATGAACAGGCAGTTTTCAGATGAAGAAATCAAAGCTATCTATAGGCATATGAGGAAGTGCTCTAAATCGCTTTTGATTAGAGAAATCCAGATTAAAACAACTCTGAAGTACCACCTCACATGTATTGGATTAGCTAATATGACAAAAAAGGAAAATGATAAACATTGAAGAAGATGTAAGAAAATTGGGACACTAATGCATTTTTGGTGGAGTTGTGAACTGATCCAACCATTCTGGAGAGCTATCCTGAACTATGCCCAAAGGGTTATAAAACTGTGCATAGCTTTTGATCCAGAAATACCTCTATTAGGTCTATACCCCAAAGAGATCATCAAAAAAGGGAAAATGACCTATATGTGCAGAAATATTTATAGCAGTCTTTTTTGGTGGCAAAACATTGGAAATTGAGGGGATGCCCATCAATTGGGGAATGGCTGAATAAGTGGTATATGAATGTAATGGAATACTGTTGTGCAGTAAGAAATGACGAACAGGCAAATTTCAGAGAAAACTGGAAAGACTTGTATGAACTGGTGCAAAGTGAAATGAGTGGAACCATGAAAACATTGCACAAAGTATCAGCAACATTTTGTGATGATCAGCTATGAATGATTCAGCTGTTCTCAGGAACACAATGATCCAAGACAAGTGCAAAGACTCACAAAGATAATGCTTTCCATATACAGATAAAGAACTGATGGTCTCTGAATGTAGATTGAAGCATATTTTTTTTTCATTTACTTTATTATTTCTCATGTTTTTTTTCCTTCCTTTTGATCCATTTTTCTTCTTCCACAGCTGTGATTAATTTGGAAATATGTTTTACATGATAGCACATGTATAAACTATATCAAACTGTCTACCATTTTCAGAGGAGGGGAAGGGAGGGAGAGGAGGGAGAAAAATTTGGAACTCAAAATCTTGTAAAAATGAATGCTAAAATATTTCTTAACATGTAACTGGGGAAAAAAGTAAAACTATTTAGAAAAAAAATAATTTGATTGGACCTTGCTTAAAAATAGACAAGCAAACAAAATTAATAACATTTCAGTCGCTCTCCACTACATACCGAAAAAAATAAATCCTGAGCAATCCTAGAATTCAGAGCCCTCCACAATTTGACTTTAACCCCCTTTCTATACTTATTTCATACTACTTGCCTTCAAATAATCTGCAGTATAGTCAAATTAGTCTATTTTCCATTTTTCTATATAATCATGCCTTATACCATTGTGTATGCATCCTCCCCATCTGAAATTAACTTTTTCTTGCCCCATCTCTACCTACTGTCACCCTTTCCCTAAAGACTATCTCCAATCCCACAATCTCCATTCAGTTCTCCTTGATCTTTTTAGCTGGAAGTGATTTCTTTCTTGAGTTCCTCTTTGACTTCTATGAACTGAATCCCTTTCTAAATTACAAGTTCTTGCTTTTCAAGGCCTTTTTATGGTATAAACCTTTAGAGGGCAGGGACAATGTCATTTTGTTGTTGTTATTTTAGCCTCCTAACTCTTTGTACACAGTGGGAAAATTAATAAATATTTTCTGAGCATAATCAAAATTACAATGAGATTGTTATTAGTTTAGACTGAGAGGTTTTTAATCTAGGGGTACATCAAGTCTTTTTTACAATGTAGGGTATCCCCAAACCTGCAGTAAGACTTTTGGTACACACATAAAATCATGAAGAGTCAGTTATGTTCAACTCTTCTTTTTTTAAGGGAGCAGTAGGCCAAATAAGTTTGGGAACCTCTAAGTCAGGAAGTTTCATTTTTGTGAATTCAAATCTGGCCTCAGACTAGTTGTGTGACCCTGGGCACATCATTTAAATCTGTTTGTCTTAGTTCCTCATCTGTAAAATGGGCTGGAAAAGAAAATGGCAAACCACTCTAATATCTTTGCCAACACATCCCCAAATGGGGTCATGAAGAGTCGAACATAACTGAACAATTTATAGTGATACTTAGTAAATTACTGATTTTATGTAGCAAAACATTTAAAGGACGTGTTTTGTTCTATTTGGAAGACAAATGTAACCTGCAAATGCTGGATTTGTATCGAGTCTACTTTGGAATCTTGCCTCTGATATATATATATATATATGGTAGTGTATTTTGTGAAAGGGAAAGAGAGCTGAGTCTGGACTCAGAGAAGCTGAATTCAGACCCTGGGTCTGTTACTTAATACGTGGTACCTGACCTTGGGCAGATCACTTAATCTTTTTGAGCTTTCAGTTCTTTATCTGTAAAATAAGTACATTGAAATACATCATAGATTTAGAGCTTAAAGAAACTTTGAGCTCCTATAGTCCAATCTCTTCATTTTATAGAGAAGGCAGGTTATTGAAGCCCACAGGGGTTAATTGACTTTCCCAAGGCCATATGGGTAGTAAGTAGTAAAAGAGTTCTCCTCTAGCTCTAAATCTGTCATTTTCATCTATTTGCCCTTGGCCAAGTAAGTTAAGTCCTTTGGCTTCCAGTTTCTCTTTTCGAAAATGAGGGCAATGGACTAGATGATCTCTAAGGTCACTTCCAGTTCTAAATCTTTTGGTCTTATTTCTAGATTTGTCCTTTTTTTTAAGTTTTATAATGTTGAGTGGAAAGTCTTGCAATAGATTCTGTGAATGGATAAACACACACACACACACACACACACACACACTCACACTCACACGACCTCTTCCCCTTAGAGGGCAGAAGCGATAAGAGTTCTTATTTTTAGAGTGTTTCACGATCATAAAAGTGATTTCCTTATGGTAATGTTTTGAAGTTGCCACTATCATCTCCAATTTCTCTATGATCTTCAGTCTCTCCCTGTAAACCAGTTCTTTCCTTTCTACCTATAAACACACTCAAATCTTGCCTATAGTTAGAAACAAACAAACAAAAACACCATTTGATCCTATCATTTGTTGTTGTTATTCAGAGAAAAAGTTCTAGTATTAACCAAAGGGAAATTTTGCGGGTCATTAAATGCTCGTTTCAAATGAACTACCATTACTAAATATTTCACAGTTCTCTATAAGTATTTTGTGTATAGGTTCTTATGTATAAGTTTTGAAAGTTGAAACAAAATTCTGATGTCCAGTTTGTATTTTCTACATAGGTTTAATTGGTATTCAAATATGATTTTTTCTCATGTTATCAAGGTCATTCCACAATGAGTGATAGACTATAATAATATTTTTGTCTTCTATGGGTTCATTTCTTTGAATTGCACATGTTGAACAGAAATTATTTCTCCAATCAAATCTTAAAATCTCAGGTTGTTGCACGTTGGGATACAAATCACAAAATGCTCTTGGCCAGTGAACTCATTAATTGGCTTTATTGATGAAATCCCTTGCAAATTTTCCTGTTTTATTCTTTTCTGGATGATACTTTTAACAAATTAACTTCAACTCTGTTTGTTTTACCTGGTCCAAAAATAATATTTCAAATAAGATGTCTCAATCAGTATCTTATATTTTATATTTTTATTGATGATCTCAATAGATTGGATAATCAACCTTGAAAGAAATTGGTAACACTTTTTTTTTCTTTCTATTTCAGCCCTAAATCTTAGTCAGGTTTCCACTTTCAAAGATTTCAACTCTTTTCCTACCCCTGGTGATCCAAGTTGTTAAATCAACATATTGATTTAATCTGTGCTCCCTGATACAGGGATTGTTTTAGAAGTTTCTCCTGGCAGGCACATTTAACTTGTTGTACTCTTTGACATTACTTACACCTTACAAGCAATTCATCTCCACTTTATTACTAAGAGATGTTTCAACATTTTCAGTCTCTCTCTCTCTCTCACTCTCCCCTCCCCTTTCTCTTTTTCTCCCCTATAGCTCCATATTGTAGTTTGACCCAGAGTCTGAAGAATGGAGGGATTGTGAATAGGACCAGGGGACCAGTTGGAAGTCGGGTACATTTTTTTTGCAAGCCTGGACATAGAATGATTGGCCATAGTAATGCGACTTGCAGACGCAACCCAAATGGCATGTATCAATGGGATTCCCTCACACCACTCTGCCAGGGTAAGAAATGTTTCCTTTCTCATGCCTGTCTTATACTTATGATTTCTTCAAAGTAAGGGATTTTTTTTTATTGCCTCAGTAACACCTTTACAATCAAATAAACAATGGCCAAAGATTCGATTGAATAAAAAATTGATAAATGTAACCACACATTTATTTAGCACCTAATATGTGCTTAGGACCAAAGATAAGAATGAAACAATTCCTGCCTTTAAGGCCTTTACAATCTATTGGCAGACAACAACAGCATATAGATATGTGCATACAAGATAATTAAGGACAATTTGCACAAGCATTTGAAGTGGGATAAAGGAAGGCTTTATGGATGAAGTCTAACCTGTTTTGTGCTTTGAAGGAAGCTAAGGATTTTAAGTTATAAAAAAGAAGAGGGAATACATTTCAAACTTTGGAGGTATCTTATACAAATGCCAAAGTTGGCAAATATCAAATCATTCAGTCTGGCTACACTATAGAGTAAAGGAGAATAATACAATATAAGTCTGAAAAAATAAACTGGAGGCAGATTGAGAAGGGCTTTAAATTTCACACGAAGAAATATGTATTTTTTTCTAGAAGCATTAGGAGACCATTAGAGATTATTGAACAGAGGAATGATGGTGAGAACTGTGTTTGAGAACAATTATTTTGGCTGTGTGGAAAATGGATTAGAGATCAGAAAAAGAAGAACCAAAGAAACCAGTTAAGAAATGATTGCTCTATTGTAGTGGAGAGGTGATGAAGACTTGAAATAGGGTAGTATGTGAATAGAGAGAAGGTGATAGAAGGAAGCAATAGTATAGTTATAGAATTGATGGCAACTGATGAGGTTAAGGAGGTAAGAGAGAATGATGATTCAACGATAACACCAAGATTGTAATCCTGAGTAACGAGATGGACAATTTTACTCTCAATGGGAATGAGAAAATAGAGAAGTTTGGAAGATTAGTGGATTTAGGGGGGCAAGATACTTTCAGTACAGATCAGGATCAAAGTTAGAAGGTGATTTATAAAACTGCTTTAGAAAGATTCTTGAGAAATATTGCCACTGAGTGCATGGAAAATTCCTCTGAGCACACAAACCTGCTCTTATAAAATGGTGTTTGGTTTTTTATATAATCTGAATATAGAAGAAAATTGTACATTTTCTTTTGATATTGTATGGATCTGTTCTATTATTTGTTTATAAAATATATTTTAAAATAAATTTTTATATCAAGTTCAAACTTAAAATTATTTTTGACAGCTATAATATATATAATTGAACAAAATATTTTCTTTATTATAATTTTCAGTCCCTCTAGGCTAGTTCCAAGATATTTAATTTATAATAGCTTCTTTAGAAATAATTTCATTTAGTCCAATAAATTATTCTCTAACATCTCTATTCATCATATGAATTAAAATTAAGTTCTCAAATAAGGTATTTTTATGGTTAATTAAGATGATGGTTTCATAGAGTTCGCAAAGCTATGCTTTTTACAATGTATACTATATATATTTATCCATTGTATGTTTATTTTGTAGATTAAAATTCTTACATCTTAAAGAGCTATCTATTTAAGCTTCTGCCTTTGGAATATATTCTAGTTTTCCTTTTCTATTTTTTTCTTTTTTTCATTATATACTAGATTCTGTGATATTACCCTAGTAGATATAATGAACACTTATACTTTATTCCACTGTTTCTGACAAGATGGAGTTAAAGAGATATCTTCTGTTCCTGTTGGGGGAGCTAGGTGGCATAGTAGGTATAATTAAGTGGCACAGTATATAGACTGCTGGGCCTGGAGTCAGGAAGATCCACACATATTGGAATTCAGTCCCAGACACTTACTTGCTATGTTTCCCTGGGTAAGTCACTTAACCTCTATTTGTCTCAACTTCCTCAGTGTAAAATGAGAATAATAGCAGCACCTATTTCACAGGATTGTTGTTGTAAAGATCAAATAAGATAATATTAGTAAAGAGTTTAGCACAGTGTCTGGCAAATAGTAGGCACTATATAATGCTTACTTCATTCTCCCCAACCCACAATCCTACCACTATCCCACCCCAGTCTTCAAAAAATAAAGTTTAAAAAACAAGAATGTACTTACAGTTTATTCCATTAGTATTAGTGATTGGCAGGTCATGTGACCTTTTGTTATATATGATAAATAATTCTTGTTTATCTGCCTATGTTTTTTCTCAATTGTTTTTTAATACTAATCTTATTTATGATTTTAGAATGATAGATAGATAGATAGATAGATAGATAGATAGACAGACAGACAGACAGACAGACAGACAGACAGACAGACAGATAGATAGATAGATAGATAGATAGATAGATAGATAGAGGCAGTGTGGCATAGTCATTAAATTACTAGCCTTAGAATCAGGAAGACCTAAGTTTAAATCCAGCCATGACACAGAGTAGCGGGGACAATCTAGGAAAATTAGTTAACCTTTCAGCGGCCCCCAAGCAATTTTCTTTTCTTTTCTTTTCTTTTCTTTTCTTTTCTTTTCTTTTCTTTTTTTTTTTTTGGCTAAGCAATGGGTAAAGTCACTTGCCCAGGGTCACACAGCTAGTAAGTGTCAAATGTCTGAGGCCAGATTTGAATTTAGGTCCTCCTGACTCCAGGGCTGATGCTCTATCTACTGCACCACCTAGCTGCTCTCCTCCCCAAGCAATTTTCAAAGAAAGTCTAAGGTGCCAGTCTATACTGATTAAGGAGATTTCCTTATTGTGAGTTTCCTATAACAGCAAAATCATAGGTCCAGTCTTATCTTCTATCCCATCTCATTCATTCGATCCTGTCCCATCCCAGTATGTGTGTATATACACACACATATATACAAATACATACATATAGATATTATATACTATACCTATAAGGTATTATATGCTACATATCAACACTATATATAGAGGGAGGCAGACAGAGAGGCACAAAGTAGGGTGGAGAAGACGGGAGTGATAGAGACAGGAAGAGATGGGGAGGGGAGGGATGCCAAAAGGGAGGGGGATGGGGATGGGGAGAGAGTGAGGTGGTTTGGAGAATCCTTTTGTTATTTGTATTATGATACAAGGTCATTTTTCTTTTGTGGATAGATGATGAAATACACAGAGGTTTTGTTAATATTTTATAGGTAGTCACTAGCAAATTAAGAAGTATTAACTTTCATTATCTCAAAAAGGCAGTATGTTGTAGTAAAACGAGTCTTTAAATAGGAGCCAGAGGACCTGGTCTATGTCCTACCTCTCTAATTTCTGAGATTTGTAATCGCTTTTCTTCTTTGAACATCTCTTTCCTCATTTCTAAAGAGCCATTACTCTTCCCAGTGCATCACAGTGATCTTATTGTCAGGATCAAATGAGATACTTTAACTGAAAAGTTTTACAAATACATAAAATTGTTATATGCATTTATATGATAAGATATGATACGGTAAATATGAATACATGGTTATCTAATAAATCACAGACATACTATATAATGTGCACACATGTATATATGTATGCATGCATACATGCATATATATAGGGAGACAGACACAAAGAGAGACACAGAGAGAGACAGACACAGAGAGAGAGAGAGATTGATTGTGGTTATTTATTGATGCTAAAAACCAACATAGAATAGGCTTGGATTCAGTGTAATTTTAACATTTATATTTGTGGGAGGCTTTTATTCTTCACTTTTTTTAGTTATGTCTCACTCTTTTGACCTATTTGGGGATTTCTTGGAAAAGATACTGGAGGGGTCTGAATTTTTTTCTCCAGCTCATTTTACAGATGAGGAAACTGATGCCAGTAGGGTTAAGTGATTTGCCCTGGGTCACATAGCTATTAAGTGTCTAAAGCCAGATTTGAACTCAGGAAGATGAGTCTTCCTGACTTCAGGCGTAGCCCTCTATTCACTGTGCTGTTCAGCTGTTCCTTATTCTTCATTAGATATAACTAAAATGTAAATATTTAAAATAGAACAAACCAAGCTTCTCTTGAGAGAGGGTTTTTTTTTCCTTTCCTTTATTTCTTTTTTTTCCTGGTTTCTCTCCATTTCTTAATTCCACATGTGGCTCTAAATCATAATTTTAATTTTTTTTAATTTACAAGTTTTTTTTCCTCCACCCCACCTCTCCTTATACTGAAAAAGGATGAACAAAATCTTTGTAACAAATATCAAATATTAAAATGGAATGAGGTATTTGTAAAATATTTAGCATATTGTCTGGCCCTTAGTAGACATACAGTAAATGTTTCCTTTTGCTAAAGTCATCACAGTTGGGTAGCTTTTCATATACAGATTAAGAGAGAGAGAGAGAGAGAGAGAGAGAGAGAGAGAGAGAGAATGTTTTTCACATTCTTCAGACAAAGCAAGGCAGCTACCAGAATGAAGACTTTTATGTTAATTCCCCAGTATTTCTCCTTATTGAGATTATTTCAGGTCAGACACAAATATTTCTAGTTAATGTAAAAAAAAACATCTATTAAAAAAATCTATCTATAAAAAGCTACCTAATTTTATTGACAACTTTCTGATCCTAACTTGAAAGTCAGGATGTGTGAGATAGTAGTTTTAAAACCAAATGAAATCAGTATCCATTTAATAAATTATGATATCTCCTCTGGGGTTTCTGAATGGAAAAAAATTCCCATTGTATCTTGTTGTTCAATTATAAATCATGCTGGGATTACCAATTTCTTAGAAAAATCCACAGCTCACTCTATGGGCAATTTGTTACCCATTTAACCAAGGTGTTAATATTATCTGGCCATTCTGTCATAGAATTAGAGAGAAGCTTTTAGGACCAAGTCTCTCAATTTATAGATGAAGAAACTGAGGAGCAGAGTGGGTGACTGTCAAAGGTCATACATAAAAGAACAACAAAGAACAACAATAGTTCATGCTTGTATAGCACATTGAAGTTTACAAATTGCTTTCCATATGTTTTTTAATCCTTAAAATGAACTTATGAGCTAAGAGCTATTATTAATATATTTTTCATTTAAGGAA